TCAATGTATCCAGGTTTTCTCTCACGATCAAGGTGATTTCCTGTTTCAGAGCGCGTAAGTCCGTGATTGACATTAACTGCGTCTTCCAGTCCCGCACTTCACCTTCTGGTGAAGCAGCAGCTAAAAATGGCTCAATTCATAACACCGCAGGCGTAACGGGATTCGAGAAAGGGTTCGCAAGTATAAAACATATAGAAAACGGGAGTGTGAGGGGCGCCAACGTCACACGCAGAGGAGAAAAATGAACATACTTGGCCTGGCGGTATCTCTTTCTTCCCACATTCGGTAGAGATTGTCCACAACCTAAACGAAAAACGAAAATTAGAAGTCTACTCGATGGAAAGGTGTTGATCTTTCCTTAGAAGTGCGCCATGCATTGGAGGACTACTCACTTCGTAGATCTGGTGGGAGACAAACAGTTCATACATTGCATTTTAGTGAACCAATGAGATTAACCCCCAGACTTTTTGTAATGAAGATAATGTGTCTTGCATAGTAACTAAAGCTCCCGGCAGCAGCTAATCATCTGCAGAAATTTGGCTCACGTACGCTGTGGTTTGACTGGGATTCGATCCAGAGACCATGCGCGCGGTAGTGGCCCCTCTGGTCATCACACCATCCTCGCTCGAATGAATTTTAGAAATATAAATCGGCAATGTTGTTACCATTTACAACATACATTTTAGTACTGAAAGTCTACGAAGCATGAAAACTACTCTTCGAAGCTGCGCACCCTGGCCAGTGACCTTCGGTACGATTTACTTTAGTAGCTCATCCATCCATCTCATTACTCGCCTTGACTTGTTTTAGGAGTAAGAATCATAATTCCCATCCATGCACATTTCCGCCATCAAGCGGGGGCCTCTGACCACGGAAGTGGTACATGTGTGTACCAGCAGCAGTCACAGGGTTAAATTGATATGGCCATTACTCCGAACAGACCCCCACAGTTGAAGTGAAAGAAAAGTAAGTAGAGAATTGTTAAAAATACAAATATTACATCATAAATGAATAAATAAACAAATAATTTATAACAATAAATAACATAGGGCAGGAACTTGAAAGACATAGGAATTTGTCGAGGGACGGAAAAACCCTTCTATTTTTTATCTTCATTCGGAGAGGTAAAGCGAGAAGCTCCGATCATATGTAAACTTCTGAGGGTTCGTTAGATCACGCTATAGTCAGCGAAACACGCTTGCTAAAGTAGATCGGGGAGCCGTGTTTCCTCATAAAAACCCGCACTGTCGTTTGACGGATCTGCAGCGCTTCTCTTCCGAATAAGCTTTTCAATAACAGAGCGAAACGAAGTTATAGTTGAGACCAAAACCTGCTCTTCGATAGTTAGGTATGTGTTTTTCAAGTCACATATCGGTAATTACCTTCATCACTTGTTTTTCGAGCATGTCCGCTCTGATGCTGTCCTGTGGTACCAGGGAACGTACGTTTGATGCAAGCCATGCACGGCCTTGTTCGTAGCCCTACAAACAGACAATTGGAAGCGAGAAAAATTGGAAAACTGCCATTGTGGGAGCCAGAAGAAAAAAATAATACACACCTGCTGCACGTACTGGTCAATGTCAATATCATGATCTTCCAACTTATCTTCGGTGAAGTTTCTCGCGGCACTGAGCCAATCTGGTCGAGAATTTGATGACGCCCTGGCTCGGTCGAGAAGTGATAATGCTGGTCGAGAGCCGGATAATATGCACCTAGGAGCCAACTTCAGTACTTGCCTGAGTAACAACACAAAAAAGAAAAGGAAAGGTGAACGAACGGTCTCATTATGAAGTTGAAATCCAACGAACAGCAAGGCGAAGAGGGCGAAGAATGCTAGAAAACCCATAACAACCACTGACGATAGAACATCCATTTTCGAGTGAAGAGATGAGGCCAGCATTTGGTCCGATGTGAACAGTACCTAAGCGAGAATGCTATGAAACATGACACTGCTTACAACATAGATATCAGTTATAGTATCACTCAATTGTACAACCACTCTTAAGTAAGCAGGTATAGATTGGCGTTGAGACGAGGAGGGTACACTAAGAAAGCCTGAGCATGCAACCAGTCTCCCCGCACACTAAAGGAGCAGAACATGGAGCATGAAAGTCCTGGTAGCTGTGGGTTGAAGTTTAACCTCTGCCAGTCTGGCGCACTCCCACCAAAATTTGACCTCTACTCCGTAGCTGACCCTTACCCACCTTTTCCCAGCTTTCGAGAGCTGCGGGTTAATCTTATTATAAACTTCAGATTTTAGCTCCGCAATTTCGGTGCAAACCACGTCCACCATGCACACTTGATCCATCCTCATTCCCTAAACTCTATCTATGTTTTGACTCGGTTTCTACGACGCCTTGGGACAGCGTTGCAAATTTTTGTGGTAAGCACGATCCACGCTTCCCGACTGCTGGTGAAGCTGAAGTCATTTTCTATTCACTTGGTAGCCTTGCAACCGAAATATAAATGTTGTAGTGAGCACCGCACATCTAGAGGAAGCCCGCCAACAGCGATAGGTCTCTTCACCCTCATCCATCACCTGCTACACACCGTGAACCAGCATGGTTAACCCTAGCGTTGTACTTCTTCAAAAATTTTGTGACGGGGGGGGGGGTGGAGGAGGGATGTCTCGTCGATGACAAATCACCTAATTTTCTCTATTACACTTCTTTTATGAGATTTGAATGATCAAATACGCCTTAAAAACAACCCATGCCCGCTGACGCACCTCCCGCAGCTACGACCTCTCCCATGTCTACAGATCTACCCTTTTCGACCTCTACCTTCACCGACCCAGTCAAGACCCTTCCCCAAAATCGCAAATACGACCACCGTCCGTTGGTACTTGTACGCAAAGAACGCGTTGGATGCGGCAATACGTGAGCCTCATTCGCGGTGACAGACGAATAGACAAATAGATACATACAGAGCTCTTCAATATTAGGGTTGTTCGGGAAATTTTTGCAATTTTACTAGCACAATTTCAAATGCTTTGCTATCTGAACCACCTTTCATGAAACCGTGAACATTTTGTAGATCACTGAGAAGCGCGTCTCTTGCACTACCTAAATGTGCTGTCCTTTTTACACTTAAATCACTTTTGCCATTTTTTCAAACCCTAATGCAACATATTCAACAGGCCATTTCGCGCAACTTTCTTGTCCCCCCTCAAAAGTGCGAAGCACAAGTCGCGACATCAGTTGCAGCATTTGGTCTGGAATCAGCCACGAAAAAAAAAAAAAACTGTGCAGTCTTATTATTAGGGTGTCTTTCGCGGTTGAACGCTTTGAAGATAAGAAGAAGATTTGGTTAGATATCGGAGATTTACAGAGAAGCTTCGACCAAACGATTCTTATGAATTGTCCCCACCTACCTACAAGTAGAAAACTTACAAACAAGTCGACAAGTGGGTGCCCGACTCTTCTCCCTACAGCTGCGCAGCCCTATCTCGCACTTCCAACTGTGCAAAAGTTGAACTAGCTGAGCTACGAATTGTGCTGCAAACATTTTACGCACACTCTTACTGCCTAACAAAATGTTGCATTCCCAACCATCTTGATGGTCTTCGAAGAGATCAAGCTTTGGAATCCAACAGATGGTGAAATGACCTTCGCCGAGTTCAGCTTACAGAACTCCAACACTTCGATGTTCGAGACTGTTGATAGAAGCCTTTCCCATCAAAATAAAAACATTACAGAGCATCATATAATAACTGTACCTTGACAAACTTTCGTAAAGGTCCAGCAACCGATATATCGACCACTTTCTTGAGAGGAGGATAGGCACGATTCCACAGAGACTCGACAGCATCACCGATCGTTGAGAAGAGACCACTTCTAGATCCTAAACCATCAGGAGCAATGCGATGTATCCAACAATTCGGGAAGCAAACGCCAATCAACTACAGTTTGTACAGAAAAGGACTGTTCATACACGGAGAGTCTAATGAAATCAATATTCAAACAAAATCGGGATAACTACAACAGCACGTAGCTAGGTTGGTCTATTGCAAAAAAAAAGAACAAGGAATCTCAATTTACCGCTGTTTTTAACCTTGACAATTTGTTCACGAGGGAAACCTGTATGAAATTAGCAATGATGGAGAAGACGACAATGAAAAGTTGAGATTCTCGAACTAACCTATCCTGCTGACAGCAGCAATGAAGAAGGGAATGATGATGAAGAATAGAGAAGAATCATGACGCGCCATCCAGGATAAAGCACACAAACCAGCAACTATCATAATGAGTGAATCACTGCCGAGGGCTTTGTCCAAAGAAACGACGGAAGTCGTATCTGAATGAATGAAAGAGCTCCAAGTATGGGAGATATTCGCAGATAAAACTATCATTAATGAAAGTAATGTTCAACATTTACAGAAAATCAGATTGTCTCACCGTCTTCATCATGAGGAGTTTTAAATCAACTTCGCCGTTTCGCTTTCAGTTTCAATGGTTACTTCCGTATCAAATTCTGAAACGATAAGTCATCAATAGACGATGAAGAACAACACACTATCAAGCTTGAGGATTTCAAGCAACTGAAGGTTGCATTTACTAATCGACAAAAACTGCTTCAAACATCAGAGGTTAGGCAGCAGGACACTATCATATGATTAAAAACACGTAAATTCGTGCATTAATCCCTAAGTCGTTTATTTTTCAAGCTCTTAGGCAAAACCCAGAGTCAAACCAGTATGACTTACGTCAGGGTAAGCACTGCTGAGATGGTTTTTTTTTTTCAGAAGAAAAAGGAATTAATCGTTAGAAAACCTATTAACAGAGCTGTGAATTAGAGTACGAGTGGAAGGCTACCTACTCCTACACTTGGGTTCAGATACACCGTCATGAATTCACAAATCAGACCAAAATAGGAAAACAGTCAAAAGATACCTCCGTCAGGCGATTTGGCTCGTCTACAGTCCAAGCGCCAGCAGACAGAAGACCCAGGACAATTGCGCAAGCAGAAAAATACTGCAGCTTTGAAGACACCAAAATACAAGGAGATGGAAGATAGCACATATATCCTGCAAGAATGACATGAAACAGCTCCCAATCCACTGAAAAAAAAAAAACTGAATCCTACCATAGCGGGAGAGAAAGTACACGGGCAATTTTCTTGTTAACTGTTCCAGAGCGCTGAACAAAAATCCAAGCAGTGTATCCAACGAAGTACAGCACCATTAGAGGAAATACCTATAAATACTATTCCGATCGAAAAGGCGAATATATTTCGGAGAAAACTAAAAAGCTTACCCAAGCCTCCGAGAAAAATACAATAAAGGAATCAATATAGCTGTATAGTCGTCCAAGAAATCCGATTACATAGGTAAATGTGCGTTCGTAGGTAAGCACTTTCAAGGCTATGTAAGCACAAATAATCTGGAGTCCTGTTGCACTAAATTCGAAATACATAAGTTTTTGAAGCACATAAATGGAAATTGAGTCTGACCTGATAGCCGTTGAGTACACCTTCTCAGAGAACGATTTCAGGGCGCACACTGGTGTAGCCATTACACCTACCACCAAAGGGGTATTCGTCTCTTGGAGATAAGCCAAATATCCTGAAACCAACACATATAAGCAACAAACACTCCAAGAAGGACAACGCAACATACCTTGTACGACGTTGGTTACTTTCTTTTTGAACGGGAACAATACGGTGCCGACAAGTACGGCCCATAGCATTGGTGAAAGGAACATGTACATCATTTTGTAGAGGGCAAACAGACAACAAAAACATATTCCAGTCTGAAAAGGAGTAGCGCAAAGAATAAACATGCGGTTGGTGGTCAGCGGCTTTTCGTCCATCTGTTTGCTGTTAAGAACGGTGCTCGATTCCCAATTCACGTGAGGGAGGGATTGACGAAATCCTACCTCCGTAAGTGACCAGAGATTAAGTATGCTGCCGCATCTGGTCAAAGACCATGTGTGAGGAACAACACAACATACGAATTGGTAATGACTGCCAGAGCAAAGGAATTACTCAGAATTTTTCTTTCTCAGGGTATTGGGTAAAGACCCCATGATCGAATTAGTCTTTTTGACCCAGTGGATTGACAGTGAAGAGGGGACAAGCAATTTCTTATGCTCTACGTTCTAGTTTTAGTGGAAAAGGAACGATAATGTATAAGGACGCTATCACCAGAAAAGAATTTGGCACTATTGCACTATTACAACCCCAGTAGGGGTGAGATGGGTCAAAAAATAATTTTCGCTGAAACTTCGGCTATGGGGGTTATCGAGGGTCCTGATCACGAATATGATATCATTTTTGGCGCCATTTGGCGCCAGGTGGCGCCACGACTGATTCCCACTAAATTCGCTGTAAACTTCTGTATAGGGGTTATTTGGGGTCCTGATTACGAATATGACATTCGTTTTTGTTGTTGGCGCTATTCGGCGCCTATTTCCTGCTCGTCTGCGCCCTCGCACTAATTAGATCGCAATAGGACTAAGCCTTTGAATAGTGGAGGGCTCCAAAGTGAGTAGGCCACTCCCCTGTGGTCTAACACACTCCAACTTTTGCCACACGGTGCGTGGTTTACCCACTCCGGAGTTTCACTCCCCTCCCCTAAGCTTAGTCTTAGGCGCTATAGGTGAGAAAGCTTAGAAAAGCAGAAAATATGCGTTAAACAGCACGAATGTCAAAAACGAGTGTCATATTCGTGATCAGGGCCCCAAATAACCCCTATACAGAAAGTTTACAGCGAAAATTATTTTTTGCCCATCTTCGGCCCCCCCAAATGTGGGCAATAGTGACAAGGATTTTTATCCTATGATTTTTTTTCTGAATACTTTGTAAAACAAATGATTAGCCTGCAGAATCAATCAACTCACCAGTACAAATAGAAGAGCGTTAAAGAATGCGAAACGAAGAGCAGTTTGCTGGTCCTGGGTCGTTAAACGATCCACTATAGCCAAGGAGGTGCCCTCCTCCGCCCATCTTGCTCAATAGAATGTTGTCACTGAAACCGAGAATGGAAATGAAAATCAAAAAACAGTTACATTTCCTTTATAAAGACGGGCGCTCATGTCTTCGAGGGCGAGGCAGAGGCAGATACAAGGTGGTGGCCAGTTACTACACACCGGCCTGGTATTTAGCCTAGGCGAGAGGAAGGACCCTCGCGGAACATGTAAGCAATTCAGTTCTCCCTCGCGTTTTATTTCCTTGCCGGGCTGATCCCAGTTAAAGGTACCGATGGCCCTGTTTTTGAATGTCCCTCCCCTCAACCCCCCTCCCCCCAAAGACATGGGTGCTTACGCAAGTGAAAAGACGAAAACAGAGTGCTTTAGAGAGAAAACGTCATGGCGAACGATAAATCACAAAGAGAACAACTTGTTTACCAATAACAAGAGGGAATCAATAAAGGCATAGTGAAGAAAATATCAACCGCTCATAAAAATCATTCACTCATGAAACAAAGGCCTTCTAAACGAAATTCTAAACAATAATGCTAACTGAAAGCAACTGATAGGACTAGCAACTACAACCAAGAAAAAGATCACATTTGGGCGCAATGTGGCTCGGGGAAGGGGAGGGGCGACGACATTTGAGGAGGGGACAATAGCGCATCATGTCTCGTTCATGCCCATGGAGACCTCACAAGCCCAAACTTTGCTAAACGAAAGGGCAGGAAAAAGTCATGATCCCCTCCCCTTAACTAACATCATTCCCTCTGGATCAATTTTCTCCCGCTTGCAACCTAAGAAGCAATTTCCCAGGATACATAGCGACCAGGTGGAATGAGGCAGCGTTCATAGCTTTGAAGGGTTCATTTACAAATAATTGGCGACTCCGATGGAATCACCAGGTTACGTTTAATTAAAGCAACAGTCCAGGAACGAATTTGCGGGCCAAAAGCACCTATATGGAAGTTGTAGGTGAAAAGTGGTCGAACGTAAAGAGAAAAAGTGAAGAAAACGCCCAACTGGGGCTTAGACAGGGACATGCCCTGCCGTTTAGGGAGACGTGTGTTGGACGAGTTGTCCGAACCTGCCCGTAGTACATGCGCTCCAATTGCAACTGCTGGCAAATAGCTGCATGCTTGCAAATACATAACTATTTGCCAGCAATCGAAATTGAAGCGCTTCAATTGCGTTCTTATGGAATCGACCTCATACAGCGCGGCGGTCCCGCAACGACCGCTAGTCAAGCACGGACTCTGCACAGCGTATGTTGGGCGATCCGCCTCTTTATGGGTGATCCGCCCCCTCCAAGAGGACTTCGACCCCTTCCAGCGCATTTTAGAGGTAGGTTTTGAAATTAAAGACATTTCCTATAAACTTTAGTTGGGCTGGGGCATGTTTTGACCGCCTAATGACCAAGTAGTTGAAACCCTGCCTGGACTGTTGCTTTAAGCACGTCTCACGATCAAACTTTCTTTACAGGCAATTTTTGGAACCAACTTCTTCTTTCAAAAGGGAGTCATCGAGTCTCCGAAGTGTCGAGTTTCCCAGAACGTGAGGATGAACAGTTTGATGGATTGCTAGGTGATGACCAACCAAGTTTTTTAGATTGTGCGCCCAGCCAGCTGCAACCCTGCAGTGATTCATCAGGGTTCATATAGATATGGATTCTGCCTTTACATGCAAACATGTGGCTCTCCATCGGAAAACCTTTTCCTGGCTCCGGTACATGCACAATTTCCGTTGCCAAGCGATCATTTCGAAAGGATGAACAAAAAGGGCGCATATGTAGTTACGGGTGAAGGGGGGGGGAGGGGGAGGGGGAGGAGGAGGAGCCATCGAGGCCCCCCGCAATAGTCGGCGCGCTACATCTTTGCTAACTGGCCTTTGAATGGCTTTGATGCTTATGCAGTACAGAGCTTCATCCCCCCCCCCCTCCCAAGCCACTTCTCCTTCCCTTATCCATACGAGTCAAACAAAAAGAAGAGAAGTGCGCATTCTCTATACCCAACAATGGCGTTTATATCCTTGGGGTTGACATTCAAAACAGGGCCGATGGTGGGTGACACTAGAACTAAGCCCAAGCGAGGAGAGAAACGCCAGGGAGAACAAAATCTTCTCACATCTCAAACAAAATCTCCTCCCCACAGTCCCTTCCCCTCCCTGAGATCTTGTCTCAAGTGCTGTAAGTGGTTCAGTGACTTGAGTGTCAACCCATTCCCAGACGTGAGCGTCCTAACAGGAATCCTAGAAGGGCAGAAATTTCGGAGGAAGTAAAAATTCATGCACCATGAGGTTTCTCCTTCTTCGCCTAAGCCATAGTCCCGTTCTAAAGAGGCAATGTTTGAAGCAGTCTCGAAAGCATTGCCAGCACAGAGCCCCGAACTTGTAATAACACCAAAACAACTCTATACGAGCAACAACTCAACAAGACCATGACCACAGTTCAGCAACTCGATGTAAAAGTTCCGATGTCGAATTACTTGTACGACGTGTGATTACGGTCAACAGCATCTATCTTACGACGTTCGCAACTATTCTGGGGCGGTATTCAATCCTTCCCCCAGGAGGATATATCCCCCACCTCTGATTCAATCCTCTGGGGGACAAAACATAGAATCACCAAAAACGTCCTATGTCAATAAACATAGGTAGCACAAAGAGGGTGAAATTGCATACTGCATACAAACAAACATCAATATCCGTAGGGATGATTTAGATGCTTGGCCCAGTTTTGATTTAAATTGGACCTGATGGTACAAATGCAATAAGAAACGAGGTTCGGTGAAGGGTCAAAGAGTGATGCTTTACTTGATTTGTCAAGCTTTATACGTCACTTAATTTTTGGACAACGGAGAGACATGCAGGGATCGTTTCTCTTACGGTACGGATTCATAAAGAATTAGGAGAGCACAAGGACTTAATAACCTCCTTTCTGT